GAAGCATTGGCCTTTAGGAATGGACGGTTTAGGAGAAACTGCCCCTTCTGACCCCTTACCCAGCCATACTCAGAAAACTTATCAGGAAAGTGAGAACCCGAGTCCTCAGAGAGGTTCCTGGTGTTGCGTCCTAGTCCGAAACTTGTAAACTGAAAGAACACTCACGCTGAGACCTGTTTAGTGAGGTGGGCCCAGACCAGGTCTTTTATCATATGAACTTTTCACCATACATGTGAAGTCCTCTTATATGATTAGGATAGGTAAATGGCAGTAACTGGAAAAATATAAGCCAGTTAAAGTTGGGATTTTTAAAATGATGCATATATATGTAAGCATTGCCATTAAAAGTATGTTCATTTCATCCTAGCTGGTTTGGCTCAGTGGATAGAGCGTTGGCCTGGGGACTGAGGGGTCCCGGGTTCGATTCCGGTCAGGGGCACATGCCCGGGTTGTGGGCTCGGTCCCCAGTGTGGGGCATGCAGGATGCAGCCGATCACTGATTCTCTCTCATCATTAATGTTTCTCTTTTTCTCTCTCTCCCCCTTCCTCTCTGAAATCAATAAAAATATATTTAAAAAGATAAAATAATAAAAGTATATTCATTTCACCAATCTTTTGGGGGTAGCCCCCGAGTTTTCTTTGTGTAAGTCTGCTGATTGGAGTTCTCAATTGACTTTATGGAATACATACAAGCAAATCTCAAATCTGGCTGCACTCCGAGAACTTTTTTAGAAGTACTGATGCCTGGGTCCCACTCCAGACTAATTAAGTTGAAATGAGGAGGGTGCCCTGCTTTAAGTTTCCCAGGTAATTCTAGTGTGCAGTCTGATATGGGAGCCCCTGCTTCTCATCTGTGATTTTCAGGTTTGATTTCTTTAAAATATATTTTTATTGATTTCAGAGAGGAAGGGAGAGGAAGAGAGAAATAGAAACATCAGTGATGAGAGAGAATCATTGATTGGCTGTCTCTGCATGCCCCACACTGGAGATAGAGCCTGCAACCCAGGCATGTGCCCTGACCAGGAATCAAACCCTGACCTTCTAGTTCATAGTGGCTCAACCACTGAGCCACCACGGGCCAGGTTTGATTTCTTTAAAGTGGAGTGAGAATTTTAAACTTTTTGAAGCAAGCTAAATGCAGAATCCTTTTGAGATTTTTAAAAATTGTTTTAAGTCCCCTGCCCCTCCAATCTTTCAGTTGCCTTGCCTACTCCCAATTCAACAATTTTCAAAATGTATACTCTTTTGTATTGTCTTTCATAGGAACCATTTTTAATGCACTAATATTTCATTGGTTTATGTAATGTTTAATTACATTATTATATAAATATAGAAAAACAACGGCATAAGCAGGTTTGGAATCACACATAACTGGCCCAAGCATTCTGGGCAGTAAAGCAGGTGATTTTGGCACACTAGACAGTAGCCCACCAGACTCTAGTATCCAGTACGCTATGGGTATTGGTCATATAATCCAGTGGGCCAATGAAACCAGGCTCCAGGCCCCTCCCTTCCACTCTCTCCAACTAATATCACCAATACCTACTTAAATTTTCTTGAGTCTTCCATCCATTCTTTCCATTCATTCACATCAAGCTGTTTGTTCCTCTTCAAGCAGTTGTCACCATTGCCTTAATTAAGTTGGGAGAACATTAAACAGAGGTTCTAAAGCTGGACTTCTGAGCAGCCAGTGAACCCCCTGAGATTATATATAATGTGTAATTGTGAATATTTATTTGGGGGTGGAGTAGTAGTCATAACTTTCTGAGTGCCCATAACTTTTATCTGATTTGCAAAGAGTTTCAGGATCTAAAAAGTTGAGAAGCACGTAAGTTGAGTATCACTACAAGTCCTCTAAGGCCCTTAAAACTGTACCATCAAGACACATTTCAGTCGGTACTACTTCTCTGAATAAAGATTTAGGGAATTCGGCAGGATCATATCTAGTCTTTCTGACTGTCTCTTGCTTTAACCATAAGCCTAGGCTCAAGCCTAAAGTTCTGAACATCTATCTTTTTTCCCTAGGATTATGTGAATGCCTAGTCTGGTAGTTTAAAGCTGCTCATTCTTTTTTGCCATCTGTCAGGGGTATGGAAAGCCCAAAGGAAAGAAGGGCAATATCCTGACTCTATTTTTTTATTAGTGATTTTAATTCTCATGAACCACTCTCTAGTTGTAGTTTTTATTTTAAAGTCAGATTCTTCCAGGGAGATACCCAGCTAAACAGCTATGGCTTAATTTGAGCCACCATCTGTATTAGGAAGTCTTCAGTAACTTGTGTTTTGCATAATTGGAAAAGTGGACGTATACAGTACACCAAATACGGTATTTGCATTATTGCTTATTACATTGAACTATCAAGACGATGCCATGAGAATCTGAAGGATAGCAAACCACATAAATGAAATCAGAATGCTTCCTTATAGGCTTATAGCTGTGCCTGCCTTATTTCCTGTGTGGCAGTCTTCATCCTCATACTGGAAGATGCTACATTTATTCTTTATGCTACATTTTTCTCAGATCCAAAGTGTTACTGTGTCCTTAAAGAACAGGGTACAAGATTGTAAGGGTGAGGGTGAATAAAAAAAAGAAAGAAAAAAAGAACAGGACACAAATAAGGTTAAGTAGATGTCAAGTGTTGCAATCAAAGTATTCTCCAGCTTAAGTTTGGTGGTGTTCCTGTGGGTTTAGACTTGACTGTGCAAGCAATTCCTCACAGGCCACTCAACCATGTCCGAGATGAATCTGGAGGGTGAAGGTAGAGCTACCACACTGGCAATTCAGCTGGCAATCAAAAAGGATTTATATCCAAATTATGGATTCAACTCTCCGAAAGCAGTGATTTTTATACTTTTTTAAAACAGCAAAATCCTTTCTGGAGTTATAACCAACTTTCAAAATATAAGAAGTAAAAAAAAAAAAATCACATATAATTTTCCTCTTGTGCCTGTTAAAATCTGGACTCTGCAAAAACAGATTGAAAACTAATTTTAAAGAATTCAATTTTTGCCTCACTTCCCCTATTGTCTAGGAGGATCATTACCTTATATCGGAATCACCCCATGAGGCTGAAGTAATGATACAGCTATTTATTGAGCCTTTGTTTTAGGTATATAGTCAAGTGCATTTTTTCACTTAGTCTTAAACTTGTGAGTTATAAGGCTTACAGCAGTGATGGCGAACCTTTTGAGCTCGGCGTGTCAGCATTTTGAAAAACCCTAACTTAACTCTGGTGCCGTGTCACATATAGAAATTTTTTGATATTTGCAACCATAGTAAAACAAAGACTTATATTTTTGATATTTATTTTATATATTTAAATGCCATTTAACAAAGAAAAATCAACCAAAAAAATGAGTTCGCATGTCAGAGGTTCGCCATCACTGGCTTAGAGGGTTAAATTACTTGCCCAAGTACAAGCAGCACCCTAGGAAGTGGTGGAGCCTCCACTAACCTCAAATTTGCTTCACCCCAGACTTCCACCTCTAACAGCTGGTTTGGGCCCTGCCTACACATGATACCTTAGCACATAGCAGGTACTCAGTAAAAATAGATAACTTTACATATACCCAGCACTGTCTCCATTTTTTACACATGAGGAAACAGACTCATGTAAGTTCAGTAACTTTGGCCCAAGAGCATGCAGCTGGTGACAGAATTGGGGTTCAAACTGCAGACTGGCCTTATTTAAGAATCATATTTCTACCAACTGTGCCATACTGCCTCCATTTACCCTCTTAAGGTTCTCTTCACTATATATTGCCTTTAGGTTCCGCATGGAACCTAAAGTTAAGTTTTGCTTGTTAAAAGGGAATGGTGACATTAAAATGCTTCTGGATTTTTCTGTTCATCATATAAAATCCCTCATTACGCTGCTCTATTTGTAACTTTCTGGACTTGAGATTTTCTCAATTCATCTTGTAGCACTTACATAGGAATCCTGTCCCATCTTTAACATGTCTCTGAGACCCACACAGGGAGCTGAATTAAAATTCCGTCAACAGGATTATCCTGGGGAAATACATCAGCAGGTATTTCAGGAATGAAGCCTGGTCAGGGGCTATTCCTGCAATCCCCACTCAGAACCAGTGGTGCTGCTGGGTGGCTTGCAGGACCTACTTACAGTTTATGAACCTGCCCACCTGGGCCTGAGAAGAAGAGATTAAGAGCTCCAGGCCTTCCGCCCTGTGTGAAGGGGGCTGTTAAATTCTGAGGGGTTCTCTAGGCTCCCTGGAGAGAGACTGAGCAGTTGGAAGAGACAAAGGCTTGGGGGGAGGGGATAACCTTTGTTCCGAGGATGAGTTGGGGGAAGAAAACATTCCCTTCTCTCTACCCTAGTGGGGTGGGGGTGGGGTGAGCCCCATTTATCCTAGAGACCTGACCTATCTCTCATCCTACTGAGAAAAAAAATTAAAGCTATCAGGTTTTAGGGTTTAAAGGCACTATCTATTACCCCCCTCCCCAACCAACAAGGGAAAGAAAGGGGGATTGGGCAGAGGAACAATGCTGTCCTACCTTCTAGATTTTCATATAGGTTGTATTCCCAACCTATCTCCACATTCTAGAGATAATGAATTGTTAGGAGCTAATGAGTTTATAACAAGAGGAGATTACTGCTCCTCTAGTTTTTGTAGTCGAGTCTTTATATTTTGTGACTCTTGTTCCATGAATGTGGTGAAGTAAGTTTGTATTGGAAAGGTAAAGGCTATATAAGGATGTTTTCCTTGACATCTAAAGACAGATTTTCCTCTTGGTGAAAACACTCAGAGTCATGTGACTGGGTAATTATGGTTTTTTTCATACACATAATGGGAATTTTAGCCAGCTCTGACTCATAGGGTTATGAAAGTAAATGAGAAATTGTTAGAGCACTTTGAAAGCAAAACAATACAGTACACATAGAAAGTTGATTGTTTTAGAGTATAGCATTTTGTTTGGTAGAAACTGAGCAATGGGCCAAAAGAGGAACCCTAATGACTGAGCTGTTTCTCTGCTTACAGCTATCTCTGAAGGGCACAGATCAGAAAGCAGCATGCCTCCTAATAAAGAGGCCAGCAATCTTAACACCTCCCCTGCGGGGCTCATCTGCCTCCCTCCGATCTCCGAGGAGCTCCAGCTTGTGTGGACCCAAGCAGCCCAGACCAGTGAGCTGGATGGCAATGAACACCTGCTACAAACCTTCAGCTACTTTCCCTATCCCAGCCTAGCAGACATTGCCCTTCTCTGTCTACGTTATGGGCTGCAGATAGAAAAAGTCAAGACCTGGTTCATGGCCCAGCGCCTCCGCTGTGGCATCAGCTGGTCATCTGAAGAAATAGAAGAGACTCGAGCTCGAGTGGTATATCACAGGGACCAACTCCATTTCAAATCTCTCCTCTCTTTTACTCATCATGCAGGGCGGCCCCCAGAGGAGGTGCCTCCTTCTCCAATGCCACCTCCAGAACAAGTTAGTCTTGGAATAGTGCCCCTGACTCTCAGTGAGCCCGCCCAGATGAAAGGATTGAAGGTAGAGCCTGAGGATCCCTCAGAGCCAATGAGTCACCAGAAAGCAAAGGAGCCTCTGATGGCACCTGGCAGTGGGGCATTCTCCCACCAATCAGGATTTTGGCAGGATATTCAAAGCAGTGATCTCTCTAAGGAGCAGGCAGGCAGGGGTCCTGACCAATCACATGGCCTAGGTACTGCTTCCTGGAACCACTCTACGGCTGTCCACCAGCCACAAGCTCGGGATAAAGCCCCACCAATCTCATTACTTGCCAGTAGTTATAAGCAGGGGTCAGCATGTAATGTGACTCCTTCTTCCTCTACCTCTTCCTCTTTCCAGGTACTGGCTAATGGAATTACAGTCACCTCTAAACCCTCCCAGCCACTGGGCTGTCTCCCACAGCCACTGTCACCCAATGAGCAAGCTCTACCCATACATGTGGAGCCAGCCTGGCCCCAGAGGCTAAGGCCTAACTCAGTACTAGGCAGCATTGGCCCTGCAGAGTACCTTTCCCCTGATACCCAACGCCAGCGAAAGACCAAGCGCAAAACCAAAGAGCAGTTGGCTATCCTCAAATCGTTTTTTTTACAGTGTCAATGGGCACGGCGTGAGGATTACCATAAATTAGAACAGATTACTGGTTTACCTCGGTCTGAGATTATTCAGTGGTTTGGTGACACACGCTATGCCTTGAAGCATGGGCAACTAAAATGGTTTCGGGACAATGCAGTACCTGGTGCCCCTAGTTTCCAGGATCCAGCAATTCCCACACCATCGCCTTCAACCCGCTCTTTGAATGAATGGGCTGAGACACCACCTCTGCCAGTGCCCCCACCTCCACCGGATATACAGCCCTTGGAGAGGTACTGGGCAGCCCACCAACAGCTACGGGAAAGCGATGTCCCTCAACTGAGTGAGGCGTCAAGGCTTAGCATCCAACAGGTACTGGATTGGTTTGATTCTCGTTTACCTAAGCCAGCTGAGGTGGTGGTTTGTCTAGATGAAGAGGAGGAAGAGGAGGAGGAAGAACTGCCTGAAGATGATGAAGAAGAGGAGGAGGAGGAGGACGATGACAGCGATGATGATGATGTGATCATACAGGACTGAATGGGGGCTATGGGAGGGGCAGTCTTACTAAAAGACGAACCAACTTAGTAACTGTTTAAACAAAGAAACCACGTTTTAAAAATTACCTTGTGGCAAAGAACTGAAAAGCTTTGTGTTTTTTAAGTTGGGGGAAAGGTGGATATTTTGAGGGTGGACCAGGGAGGATGAGCATAAGGCACAAAGTGAGGTGGGGATTGAATGAGCAGAAATTCAGGCCTTAGCTTCAATGAAGAGTGCTAAGGATCTGGTCCTTTACCTATGGGCTGGGCCAAGGCTCTTGTTCTCATCTGCTTTTCTTTTCCCTTAGTATACCACAGGGGAGCTACGCCTTAGTCCCACGTCTATAGGAGGATTGGAAAGGCGGAGTAATGAATTTTGATTCCAGTGCATCCCTAGTTCAGGCTTAGGGAATGTCCGGTCCTGCCAAGGCATTAGGGGTGAGTTAATTAAATGTTTGACCCAAATAGCAGGCTAATTTTTAAGTTTATAATTTTGTATGGCCCAAGAATGATGCTATAAATATCCTAATGGCCCTTAGCAGAAAAAAGGTTCCCCACCCCTGGCCTAGTCCCACCATTTTTCCTGGAATATAAAGCTGCCTTGCACCTCTCCTTTTCTCTGAGCACAAGTCCACCCTTAATGCAGCTAAGAATCTCAGTATGTCCCAGTCTCACAGATATTTAAACTCTTCCTCATACCAACTCCATGTTTTACCTGCTTCATCGCTGAGTCGCAGAGGAAGCAGAATGTTTTTTCTGATACGGGGACCACTTTGCCTTGTACCTTTTTATCTCTTTCCCAAATCCCCATTCTCTTCACTATGTCTCAGGGTAAATCTTCCCCATGGAGCTTGTGAAAAAGTTTAATAACTGGGTGGAGAATAATTTAGACTGGATATTTATTGGAGGTGGGAATTAGGAGAGATGTCTTTTTTTAAAAGTAGAATTAGGTTACGGAAAGGTATAGGAGAGGGGATGGTTTCTGCTGTTCGGAGGACGGCAGGTAGGCTCCAGGTTTGGTTTTACAAGCCTGACACCCTCCTGCTTAACTTGGCAGAGGCTGATTTTTCATCTTCCTGGTGTTGGTTCAATTTTGTATCCAGAAAAGAGACTTTTCCCTCTCTTTATAGGATCTGTCTTGAGGGCAGAGGGATCATGGTCTTTAACTGAATTTATTGATGTTTAAGAATGGTTTTCATCAGCTGGGGGCCAGGTATAATGATATCAATGAGTTAACCATCTAGAAATAAGAGTGGTAGCCCCAAGCTGCTAGAATAATAAAAAGGCCAAAAATAAAATTGTTTCTCTCTCCTCCACTTTGCCACTTCTATGCTTTAGAGATTAATGTAACCAAATACATTAACATTCTGAATTAATATAAATTTTATTTATTCTTGAAGCAGCAAGATATATTGAGGTAAATTAAAAGAACAATAACTTTGCCCTGGCTGGGTAGATCATTTGGTTAGAGCGTTGTCCTGATACACCAAGGTTACGTGTTCAATCCCCCTAGTCAGGGCACATACAAGTATCAGCCAATGCATGCATAAGTGAAACAACAAATTGATGTATCTTTCTCTCCCTCAAATCAAGAAATAATATTAATAAAAAAGAACTTTGAGCCCTGACCGGTTTGGCTCAGTGGATAGAACGTTGGCCTGCGGACTGAGGGGTCCCAGGTTCGATTCCGGTCAGGGGCATGTGCCTTGGTTGTGGGCACATCCCCAGTGGGAGGTGTGCGGGAGGCAGCTGATCGATGTTTCTCTCTCATCGATGTTTCTGGCTCTCTGTCCCTCTCCCTTCCTCTCTGTTAAAAAATCAATAAAATATATTAAAAAAAAAAAAGAAGAACTTTCAAAGGCAGTAGATCAGTATTACTAGGCAGATTGTTTCCTACACCTGCTACAGCACAGGCTCTTGCTCAGAAGATGAGGTGTGTCTGGAAATGCCTTTAAAAATAAATCCAGAGTTCCAGAAAGGGTAATGGCATCTTAGTTTATCTACAAGGTCATTCCCAAGACCTATTTATTTCTGCAGATGCTTGCTATTTTACCTCACCCCCAATATTTTTGCTTAAGGCCTGCCTGCCTGTGTCCTACCCATTTAATTCTACCCCTTAGTACCCAAAGAACAATAAATAATTGATCTTAGTGGTAGTGTTCTTTGCCCATTCCACCATTCTAGAGCTTGCAATACTAATAGAATTGCAATAGCAATAAAAGGACGTCTTTATTATCTATGTACTTTAGTAAGCTGAACATCTTGTCTCCAACTATTATCAGACAGAAAGGAAAATAAACATTTAATAATAACTAGGCATAGAGGAAACAATAGGCAAACTGAAAAAAAAAAGTATAATAAATTAGGGCAGGGAACAGAATTGTTACTTGTTAACATTGGCAATGGGAGAATATATCCAAAACTAGAAAATGAAATCCAGAAGTAAAACCTAGTTAATGAGTATATTACCCCCACCCCCAAGGATGATAAGAGATGTTTTTATAACCTTTGTTTCAAGTTGTAGGAAATAAGATGTCTTGTGGGAGAAATGTAATCTTCCTGAAGCACTAGCCTTATATAATACCTAACCACTTTCTAAGGAGGTAATATAGGGTGTACATAGTAAAGATAGAAAGTACAGAATGAAACCAGCCAGGGGTACATTTCCTAAGGCCGTCATGCCTAATGGGTATTGGATGCTAGTCTGTCCTTCAGTAGCATGTATAGATCAGACCTTGAAGATGTTCTATCTGGGAATGGTCCATGCTTCTCTCCCCCTGGCTAATCCCATCTGCCTTTGTTGGTAGAGAGTCTGCAGCAGAAGAGAGAAGGCAGATACGGATGTTTATAACCAAAAGGGCAAATAAGGACCTCTCAAGCTATTTTATGAAATTCATTAGGACAGCAAACCACCACCATTGCTTTCACATAGTTTTCTCCATTGCATGATAACTTTTCCAAACAAAGATTTGAGACATCAAAGGCTTTACCGCTACTTATGAAACGGTGATATTTCAGTGTGATATTATCTGGTGGTGATAAGACTTCTATTTTAGAAGACCCGGAACATAATACCCACAGATGATTACCAGGGAGGCAGAATTATGCCTCCAGGGAGGTGGCACTTTCTTCAATAACTCTTTCTTTAAAAACTTTGTTATAGAAATTTAAAACAAAAGTATAGTAGTATAATGAACTCACATGTACCCATCACCCAATTTCAACAAACAACTCAAGGCCCATTTTTCATTTCTGCTTTCTCACTGTGCCTCTCCACTATATTATTCTAAAGCAAAAACCAGATAATCACTTAACTTTCTATCCATTAATATTTTAGTATGTATCTCCAAAATATAAATTATTTTTAATTTCATTTTATTTTGTTAATCCTCACCTGAGGATATTTTTCCATTGATTTTTAGAGAGTGGAAGGGAGAGGGGGAGAGAGAAACATCGATGTGAGAGACACATCGACTGGTTGCTTCCCAACACACCCTGATGGGCTAGGAATCGAACCTGCAACCGAGGTATGTGCCCTTGACTGGAATCGAACCCGAGACCTCAGACCAATGCTCTAGGGCAAAATTAGCTAGGGCCAGATAGACTATTTTAAAAAATATAACCACAATAGCACTATACCTACCAAAAAACCCCAAAAAACAACCTGTTAATAATTCCTTAATATCAAATGTGCAACAGGTATTCAATTTTCTTCAACTTTTTCATAAATGGTTTTTTACAGTTAGGGCCCATATCTTTGTAGATGGTTTATACATTTCAATTATTTTCTCATCTGTAGGATAATCCCTCCATTTGTGAGGATCTTAGAGCAGGATGTTATTTTCCCAGTTTTGTCTCTTAGGGTGTAGACCCTAATTTCCTGCTGATGGAAATAAAAGGAACTTTTGGAATACGAGAGCAAAATATTTATCTACCTTAGTAATTCCTTGGGGTCACCAGGAGCTTGGTACGGAGAAAGGGCTTAAATATCCTCAAGACCAACGCCATAAAAGTTAACTTAAAAGGCAAGCCTAGACTTTTCATTGAACCTAGCTCTTTAACAAACCTTGTTTCCACGCCCTTTCCCCCTCATTGCCTGGATCAGAATGATAGTCCCATAAATTTATAAAATGTTACTCGTTATCTCAGGAGAAATAAACATGGTTTTCCTAGTTCTAGCAGTACCTCTATGCAAAAGATGTATTCCATCAAGAATACTTTTTTTGGTGAAACTTGGGAATGTCAGCTGTGTCCACAAACTTAGTTACTTTGGTCAAAATCTCTCAGTTTAAAGCCTTTCACTACTATGTGACCTAATTTTTATTAAGCCTCAAACCAGGAAGCTAATCTGATAGTGGAATAGACTCTTTGAAACTTGAGACCATTATGGAAAATTGTGTACATATTGTTACCACACTTGAAACCCAGGTCATTCTCCACTGGGTACATTCTACCACCTTAACAGGAGACCAGAATGTGTCTAACGTGCAGGCCTAACTGTGTGAATTTTTCATACTCAGACAAGTTAGACTAGTCATGGCTCACCTGCAGGGCTGGTAGCTGAAAACCAGGAAGACTCTCTAGTGCGCTTCTATTCTCCCTCTGACCTGAAGGTTAGAACAGAATGGCGAAAGATAACTTCGTTGAGCAGTTCCTTGGTAGTGTTACTTGTGGATCAGGGTAGTTCTTAATCTGGGAACACTGCTCAGAAGGGAAAAGACTCTTTGCTAAGCAATTTAAAAGGTGGCTGAATCCCCACTATTTAGGGATGGTCCATTCTTTTTCTGTGAGGATGGAGTGGGGACAGAGAGGTTTGAGTTTATGAGTAGGAAGATATAGAAACAATATAAAGATTTTGGTGAGCTACGGAAGATGACAGCCCCTTATCAAGAGGACTGGTAGCAGAGGTACCTTTTTGAAAATGATGGGTATAGGATACTGACTTTATCATTCTCATTCAGAACTGAGCTCCTAGCAATGTTCAAACAGGGATCTCAAAGCGGGGAGCGGGGGAGCAGTTTAATAAATAGCAGAACTTAACAGGTGAGAGGATGCGTGCTATTTAGGCAAAATTCAAAGCCTCCCTTCAATGTGAAGGAAAATGGATA